CATGCCAGGATTACAGAGGTGCATCCCCACCATGCCAGGATTACAGAGGTGCATCCCCACCGTGCCAGGGCTACAGAGGTGCATCACCATGCCCAGGTTTTCTTGTTTAGAAATTTCCCAGTATTACTTTATGAAATGATATATAAAATTTAAAACACTGATTTTTTTTTTCAGGATACCTTGAAATCACAAAGTTAAATTGTGACAAATTTTTATATATCAATCTCTTTGAGCACAATCTGTCGGGACTCTCATTTTCCATTAATTCTTTTTTTCTCTTTAAAACATTTTTAAAATTTTTATATTTGACAGTTTTATACATACATACAACGTGCTGTGAACATATTCGCCCTGTATCGGTCTTTTAAATTGCTTATATTTCTAGACTTGATATTGCTCTGATTTGCTGTAGTCTCTTTTCTTTCCAATGGCTCTGATCAGCTTTTCCTCAAACGTTTTTTGGGAAGATTAACAAGTTTAGAACAAGGGAATGTCCTTTACAAGAAGCTCTGACAATCTAGATCTCTGCTGTTTGTGGTCGTGCACCATGCTCATTTGGAAAAAAAGTGAAGTCTAGATGTCCATGTTACATGGGTGCTGACATCCAGCAAGTAGAAGGCTCATATTTTGGAGAATATTGAGATATTAACAGTTCTTGAAATACAGGAAAATCTATTGGTTCTAATGCAAATATGTTCCCTTCTGAGTTCTCAGCATTTTGGGCTACTTCTGAAAGGTTTGATGTCATCCTAAGGATCAGTTATTTATGTATTATTGATCAATATTTTCTGAGGATTTTTAACATCTTTTCTTTCTATTTTCTGTTAATGGGTATGTGTGTGCGCCTTCTTCTCTCTATGTGCATGCAATGTCCCAAGGGGCCAGAGAAGGGTGTCATATCACCTATAATTGGGGTTACAGGAGTATGTGAGCTGCCCAGTGTGAATGCTGTGAACTGAACTCAGAGCCCTGGGAAAGCATTGAGTGCTCTTAGCCACTGAGCCTTCTCTCCAGTGCTTTTCTGGGTTTCTGATCTATTCATCACAGACAAATCAGAATGGAGCTGGGAACTATGTGATTCCAATATTAACTTTACAACCCATATGAGAGGGATTTTTTTTGTTCTGTGGTTTTGTTGTTGTTTTTGTTTGTTTTGAAACAGGGACAGGGTCTCTGTGTGTAGTAGCCCTGACTGTCCTGGAACTCACTCTGTAGATCAGGCTGGCCTTGAACTCACAGAGATCTTCCTGACTCTGCCTCTGAGTGCTGGGATTAAATGTATGCATCACCACAACTGGTGCAACCCATGTGGTTTTAATCATAGAAGTGGTTAAAGCCGGGCGGTGATGGCATACACCTTTAATCCTAGCACTCAGGAGGCAGAGGCAGGCAGATCTCTGAGAGTTCGAGGCCAGCCTGGTCTACAAAGCGAGTTCCAGGAAAGGTGCAAAGCTACACAGAGAAACCCTGTCTCGGGGAAAAAAAAAAAAAAAAAAAAAAAGAAGTGGTTAATAAATGGTCATCTAAATAGAGCTGTGTCTTCCGATATTCACCCACTATACAGCCCTCTGGTGAACTCTCAGAAATAAAACAGTTGAAAAATATCTTTTTACAATATTTGTGTTTGAAATTTTTGTAGTGTCTTATTTTTATGTGTCTAAATGTTTTGTTTCCGTGTGTGTGTGTATGTGTGTGTGTGTGTGTGTGTGTGTGTGTGTATACCACATAGAGAGCTGTTGCCTACAGAGGCCAGCAGCGAGCACTGTATCCCCTGGATACAGGTGAGTTACAGGTGATTGTGAGCCACCATATGGATTCTGGGAACTGACCTCGGCTCCTCTGCTAGAGCAGCAAATACTTTTCTTGCCCCTTAAGCCATCTCTCCAGCCCTGCCTGAAATTCTCTAGAATCTAACACACTTAGAGAAACCCCTTATTGTAGTGTTTCTTAGGGAGACAAACAAAATATAACTGAGGATGGTATAAAATAATATTTAAGAATCAAAACTAGCTGGATGTGGTAGTGCAGTCCTTTAATCCCAGCACTGGAGCCAAAGTCAGGCAGATCTCTATGAGTTTAAGGCCAGCCTGGTCTACATAATGAGACTTTAGCTTAAAAAAAAAAAGAATCTGGACAATCTTGAATTGTCGAAGTTGCCATTAGTTTAGGTTTCAAAGAAAACCATTGACATACGATTCTATCGGGAATGTCTTAAAACTGAGTATCAATAAATGAAATCCTTATCTACTAGAATGGAAAGTCAGAAGGCCTTGAATAAAATAGATTAATCAAAGCAAAATAATATAAAGACTTTTAAAATTTATTTATTTATTTTATGTATGAGTGCTCTATCTGCATGTATGACTTTATGCCAGAAGAGGGCATCAGATCCCACTGTAGATGGTTGTGAGCCACCACCTGGTTGCTGGGAATTGAACTCAGAACCTCTGAAAGATCAGTCAGTGCTCTTAACCACTGAGCCATCTCTCCAGTCGCCAAAATAATATAAAGATTTTATTTAGGAAATAAGAGGGAAAAAAATTAAATGGACTTCAAAAACCAAAAAAGGAAAAGAAAGAAAGAAAGAAAGAAAGAAAGAAAGAAAGAAAGAAAGAAAGAAAGAAAGAAAGAAAGAAAGGGAAGAAAGAGAAAAGAAATTAAGACCTCTGGGACAATGGTGAAAATAAAGACAGAGAGTAGAAATTGCTTTCACTTTTAAAAGGCCATCACCGTATTTAAAATTTAAAATCTATTTACATAATATAGTTCTCTGATAATTAAAATATACTGTAAATATTTTTTAAATCTTCATATAACACCAGGACACTGCTAATCATTCTTTTCCTTAGATTTTATTTTCTAAGTCCCAGAGTAAATCAAACAGTAAGATAGTTCTTGTTGGTTGTTGACTATTCTGAAAAACATGGAAATTTTTCTCTTTAGAGTGTGTACGTGGCCCACAGAATCAATTAAGCAGGGCTCACAGGGGCTCACAGAGACTGAGTCAACAATCATGGGCCCTGTAGGAGTCTGAGCTAGGTCCTCTGAATGTATGTTATAGCTGTGTAGAATGGTGTCCTTGTAGGACTCTTTTTTTTTTTTTTTTTTTTTTGAGACAGGGTTTCTCTGTGTAGCTTTGCGCCTTTCCTGGCGCTCACTTGGTAGCCCAGGCTGGCCTCGAACTCACAGAGATCCGCCTGGCTCTGCCTCCCGAGTGCTGGGATTAAAGGCGTGCGCCACCACGCCCGGCCCTTGTAGGACTCTTAACAGTGGGAATGTGGGGTGGTGTCTCTGACCCTTTTGCCTGCTATTGGGACCCCTTTCCCACTACTGGGTCACCTCGTCCATCCTTGATATGAGGCTATGTGCCTCGTCTTATTGTAACTTGTTAAGGCATGTTCAGTTGACATCTCTGGGCTTGCTCTTTTTTTCTTTTTTAAGGGAAATGGAGGAGGAGTGGATCTGGGGAAGAGGTGAGGTGTGTAGGGGGGGAGACTGGGAGGAGTGGACGGAGGGGAAACTATGGTCAGGATATAATGTATGTGCAGCTGGAGAGCTTTTCTCTCCAGGACCCACCAAGTCCCGCCAGTCCCAGAGCCCACTTATAAAATAAACACGCAGACTCTTACATTATTTAAACTGCTTGGCCATTAGCTCAGGACTATCATTGTCTAGCTCTTACTCTTATATTTAGCCCATTTCTATTAATCTATACTTTACCACGTAGCTCGTGGCTTACTGGTACCTTACATCTTGCTTGTCCTGGCGGCGGCTCCAGGCAGTCTCCCTCTATGCCTTTCTGTTCCCTCAATTCTCCTCTCTGTTAGTCCCGCCTATACTTCCTGTCTGGCTACCGGCCAATCAATGTTTATTTATACAGAGCAATATCCACAGCATGTATGAGAGAAGAATAAAGTAAGCAAATAAATAAAAAATAGAGTGTGTATGTATTTGGCTGTGTGTGTGTGTGTGTGTGTGTGTGTGTGTGTGTGTGTGTGTGTGTGTGTGTAGGCCTGAGTGGACATCTTTTGTCTGCCTCAGTTACTCCAACTAAGCAGGATCTCTCACTGAATTTGGAGCTCAACAGTTCCAGCCAATCTAGCTAGCCAGCTTGCTCCTATAACCCTCTGCCTCTGCCTTCTGGGTGCTGAGCAGCCACCATGCCTGCCCTACTCTTCATGCTTGGGGAGAATCCAAATTCATCCTCAAGCTCATGCAGCAGGTACTTAATCCACTGAGCCATCTCCCCAGCGCAAACATGAACCTTTCATCTGATGGGTACTTATAAAAATACATTGCCTTAACAAATATGTTATAATCTTTTCATACCAACCTGACAGGCTGTATCTGCCCTCCAGCATCATGGGGTCTTTCATGTTCTCTGTGGCAGACTTTTCAGTGGAGAGTTCTTCAGTTTTGTCATTTTCAACTATATCATCTTGATCCAGCATCCGTTGGGAAAATGGTAATTCTGTGTCCTCTGGGAGGTTCTGGAAGCTCCAAGGGTTATTAAAGAACCTCGCCAGATACTGCATAGACTCAGAATCATCTGTCTTCTCCAAGGCCCTGTCCTTATTTGCTTGAACTTCTGTTTCCATGGCTGTTATCATTTTCCTCTCTCGTTCCTTTCCGGGGTCAAAGTCATTTGCTAGAGGATGTTTGTGGGTATCTACCTCACCACCTTCACTTTCCCCATCATCTGAAATACTTTTGTCTTCATCAGCATAGGCAAAGCCTAGCATACCAAAACCCAAGTTAAACCAGTTTGGACTGAGAGTTGAGCTGTCGTTAATGAAGGCATCTTCCTCGTCCGTTGCTGCTTCTCTGCGTGGAGCTGGGGCTTCTTCATCAGGTGAAACAGAACTGGGAACATCTTGTGATGGCGGATTGCTTTCTTTGGACAATAACTCAAGTTCTGGATCCTCCTCTCCAAAACCTAAATAACTTGTAAATCCACCACCAAACCAGCCAGTGGTTGGAGGCTTGAGGATGTTCTCCGACTCAGACACTAGTTCATACTGTTCCTCTGGCCCTGGACTGAATTCTGGTGTCTCTGAGTCAAACTGGGATTCTGGATCCTGCTCAAGTTCCATTTGGGGTTCAGCATTGTTTAATTTCTCTAGGTCATTCTCCTCTTCCACTGTTAATTTTCTGCTTTGAAATGAGCTTTCTTGTGTGGGTTCAGTATCTGTTTCAAAAGCCTTCTTTCCAGTTTCTTCTCTTCCCAGTCCAAACCATTCTTGCGTTTCAGGCAAGCTTTGGGATGGCAAGACATGGTCCACATCTGGAGTATAATCCTGATCCTCACTGCCCGCACTTCCAGCCTCTTCCCAATCCTTAGACTCATTAGAAATGCTGAAATCTTCAGGAGCTTCTGATGCTGAAATTTGGTCTTCAAAAAACGGTCCTTTGGAAGCTACATAAAAGTCAGGTTCTGGCTGAAAATCACTTTCATATATGCTATAGTTTGGGTCTTCATCTTCCTCATATGGGTACACATTTCCATCACCATCTCTGTTTAACTCACTATGTTCACTTCCAAATATGTAGCCTTCCCCAAGAAGACAAAGAAAGTCAGACTCCTAAAGGACAAAAAAAAAATCATAAATGTCTCTCCCTAAACATTTTAAGATAGCAGACTATAGTCAGGTGTGTTGTTTCATACCTTTAATCCCAGCACTGAGGAGACAAAGAGAGGCAGATCTCTGAGGTCGAGGCTAGCCTGGTCTACATAGGGGTTTCCAGGATGACTGGGGCTACACAGAGAAATCCTATCTTGGAAAAACAAGACAAAACCAAAACAAAACAAAAATTATATAAGAGCACTTGTTGCTCTACAGAGAACCTGAGCTCAGTTTCCAGCACCTACATCAGGTGGCTCACTCACTGACTATAACACCAGTTTCAGGGAATCCAAGATCCTCTTCCTTCCTCCCTGGGCACCTGTTCACAAGTGGCATATACTCACAAAGACACACACAGAGACAAGTAAATAAAAATAAATGTTTTATTAAAAGACTATTACAAAATAAAGTAAACAGATGACTATGATTTTCCCAAAAATATACAACTAGCTTAATCCCAGAGCAAAGCCTAAAATTAGGTCTCTGACCCTCAAATACATGTGTCACAACTGACTTCTAAGGATTAATGATATAAACTTAAATGAAAACTCTTAAAGTATGGTTTATTTGTTATCAAATAGTTGAAAAGCATAGATTATTAATGCTTTGAGTATATTCCACAAATAAGTTCTGTTGAGAAGGCATATATATATATATATTATACACACACACACACACACACACACACACACACACACACACACATATATATATTAGCTACAAAATCTGGTATTTCCTAAGAGTATGCTAAGTGAATGCGAACATTTGTGCAGTGATTTCGGGGCACAGGCTTATAGCTTAATGTGTTCCCCCAAAAGTATATATAGGAAACTTAATGCAACAATCTTAGGAGGTGGACCCTCATGGTAAGTGATTAGGCCATGAGGGCAGTGTGAATGTCATGGGAGTGGGTGCGTCATCCCAGGAGTGATTCTCTATCAAACGATGGGCTCACCCCCCTGCTCTGTCATGACTTCTCTCACTCTTTCCTTCCACCACAGTCATATAACAAAAATGCCCTCAAAAGATGTCCGCAGCTTGATAGTGAACTTCTTAGCTGTCATAGTTTGAGTGAGAATGACCCCCACAGGCTCATATATTTGAATTGTTCAGTAAGTAATGCTGTGGGATGGTCTGTATGTCAAATCTGTTGCTCTGATTGGTCAATAAATAAAACACTGATTGGCCAGTGGCCAGGCAGGAAGTAGGTGGGACAAGGAGAGAGGAGAATTCTGGGAAGCAGAAGATGGAGGCAGAGAGACACTGCCAGCTGCCGCCATGACCAGCAGCATGTGAAGACACCGGTAAGCCACCAGTCACGTGGCAAGGCATAGATTTATAGAAATGGATTAATTTAAGCTATAAGAACAGTTAGCAAGAAGCCTGCCACGGCCATACAGTTTGTAAGCAATATAAGTCTCTGTGTTTACTTGGTTGGGTCTGAGCGGCTGTGGGACTGGCGGGTGACAAAGATTTGTCCTGACTGTGGGCCAGGCAGGAAAACTCTAGCTACAAAGTAAAGGTGCTTACCACCAAGCCTAACAACCTGATTGTCAAACCCACACAGTACAAGGACAGAATCAACTCTAGCAAGTTGACCTCTGACCTTCACACATAGGCTGTAGCTCAAGGACACACACACACACACACACACACACACACACACACACACACACCCCTAATATGTGTATTTGAGGACATGTATACTATGATGTTCATGTGGCGGTCAAAGGACAAATTTGTAGAGTTGGTTGTCTCCTTCCAAGGTCACAAGGGTTCCAGGGATCAATTCAGGGTTGCCAGCTGAGTCATCTCACTGGCTCTCATTTCTTTTTTTAAATTGCAAACTAATTACAACATTCCCCAGTCTACATAGAGTAATAATCAGCTCACCAAAAATGCACATAATAACTCATTATAATAAACTCATCGATTTTGTGAGTTTACACAAATCTGTTATTGTTACTATCACTGGAATTTAGGGAAATACTCCAAAAGTTTCCTGAGAGGCACCCATGTTTTAAATCGGGACCTACAGGATGAGAAGAAACTAGCTAGATGGAAACAGTGCTGTGTGTTCTCACCAAAGAGTCCCTTCAAGTCCCTGGGCTAAGTAAGAGTAGGCTCATTCTAAGAACAAATCAAAAGACAGTCTGTCCAGGGTATGTGTGGCTTATGGGAGAAGAACGGCACACGATCGGAACAGCGGCATGAACAGGACCTGTGAGGTCGGGAATGGAGTCTGAGTTGTACGCCAGGTCCAGTGAAAAGCCGTGAAAGGGACTCAATGAAAGGAATGACATGACCTGATCGTTTGTTTTTGTTTTTACAAGATCCATTGCTGTTTGAAGAATGGACTGGAAAGGGGCCAAACAGCTAGAAAGCCACCGTATTCCAACCAAGAAGTGATGGTGCCTGGCCAGTGAAATGGTTCCGTGAGTAAAGGCAATGACTGTGCTAGTCTGGGATGTCCGTCCGATCCCTGGAGCTCATACAAGTACTGAAGGAGAGAACTGACTCCTCCAGGTTGTCCTCTGATCTCTACAGGCACTCCTTGGCAATGACTCTTCCCCCTCATCAGGTACATAATGCACAATAATAATAATAAAATAAAATTGTGAAAAAGAGGGACGATGATGCCTTGGAAGAGGTCTACAAGAGCGGAAATACAGAGCCGAGAACGTGCTAGAGGTACGGTACACAGACAGAAGCCACGGGGCTAAGGATCCGGCAGGAAGTGGACAACTAATCCCAGTGCCAACAACAGACAGTTTGTGGAAGCAAACGTCTTATTTCACGATGGCCTTATGCATGGTAAAACCTGGAATCTGAATTAAATTGGCAAGTCAAATTCTTGTATTTAAATATCACTTTCTGATTCCTTTTCTTTTCTTTCTTTTTTTTTTTTTGTTTGTTTTTTGAGACAGGGTTTCTCTGCGTAGTTTTGCCCCTTTCCTGGAGCTCACTTGGTAGCCCAGGCTGGCCTCGAACTCACAGCGATCCGCCTGCCTCTGCCTCCCGAGTGCTGGGATTAAAGGCGTGCGCCACCACCTCCCGGATCTTTAATTACAATTTTATTTAGAGTGTGTTGTGTCTCTGGAGGATTATATATATATATTAAATTAAAATATATAAATATAATTATATAAATTAAAAATAATCTATATAATTTATTTTATTTTATATGCATTGGTGTGAGGGTGTCAGGTCCCCTGTAACAGACACATGTGGGCTGCCATGTGAGTGCTGAGAACTAAACCTGGGTCCTCTGTAAGAACAGCAAGTGCCCTTAACCCTTGAGCCATCTCTTTCGCCCCATGATTCCTTTTCTTATTACCAAGCTTAACATTAGGGTGGAGGTGGCACACGCCTTTGATCCCAGCACTCGGGAGACAGAGGCAGGCGGAGTTCTGTGAGTTCGAGGCCAGCCTGGGCTACAGAGTGAGTTCCAGGACAGGAATTAAAACTACACAGAGAAACCCTTTCTCGAAAAAACCATAAATAAATAAATAAATAAATAAATAAATAAATAAATAAATAAATAAATAAATAAATAAATAAAAGCACTGGTTGCTCTCCCAGGGGACCCAGGTCCAGTTCTCAGTACCCGCATGGCTACTCACAACTGTCTGTAACTCCGGTTCCAGGGGATCTGATGCCTTCTTCTGGCCTCTGCCAGCACCAGGCATGTATGTGGTACACAGATATACATGCAGACAAACACTCATACACATCAAATAATAAAATTAATTAGTTAAAAAAAACCCACTAGCCAAAGTGTTTGTGCAGATGTGAGAACTCAGGACATGGCAGAAGAAATAACCTTTGGTCCTAGTAGGACAATAGTATCAGCGACTGTAGAGAGAGAATAGAAACTGTGTGCTGCTCTATGTCCTTTTTTTCTTTTCCCGGAGCTGAGGACTGAACCCAGAGCCTTGCACTTGCTAGGTAAGCGCTCTTCCGCTGAGCTAAATCCCCAACCCCTCTGTGTCCTTTTTTTATGCTTATCTAGTCTTCAGTCTGTTGCAGGTAGTGCTAAGCTCTGCTCACAGTTCCTATTTTCCAAGTGATAAAACTCAGGCATCCAGTACTACAGCCCTCGTAAGTGGTTGGGTCAGGCTTTAAACCTACACTCTCCAGAATTCGCTCTTTTAACCACTGTACCCTACTGCCTGTCAATTTCTCAGAAAGCCAAGTCTTTAACTGTCCTCCGTCCTGCTTTATCTAATTGTATTCACACAGCCAAACCATACCAAGAAGTTCTTTTTTTGTTTGTTTGTTTGTTTGTTTGTTTTTGTGTTTTTTGAGACAGGGTTTCTCTGTGTAGTTTTGCCCGTTTGCTGTAACTCACTCTCTAGCCCAGGCAGGCCTCGAACTCACAGAGATCCACCTGCCTCTGCCTCCCAAGTGCTGGGATTAAAGGCGTGCACCACCACCACCACCACCCAGCTCCAAGAAGTTCTTAATAACTGCTGTTTGCAGCCACTAAATGAGGCACACAACCAATGAACATTTATTTCAAGGAGACCTTATTTTTTTTTTTTTGCCAAGAACTTTTTTAATTCAATTAATAGCTGAGAATGAGTTTACTCACTTTAGTTGGCATTTCGACTTCTTCAGATATGAACACCTCTTCAATTTGGACTGCGTCTCTGGGAAAAAATCCAAAGTCCTTTCCCTTCTATCAAAACAAAGAACAAAGGTTATAAAGGAAAAGCGATTGAAGCAGTAATAACTATTGAGCCTCATTTTGCCCTGTGACCTTGGCTTTTAGCTACATTAAATCACAAAACACTAATTGGCTATCAAATGCCATCTAAAACTCAGGAGTGGGGACTGGGGATATAATGAAGTGGTAGAGTGCTTGCTTAGCATGCCTAGGGCCTTGGCATTAAGCCCCTGTGCCAAATAAACAATAACAACAAAAAGAACATGAGCGACGCCTCATTTTTCGGTAATTTGACGGAATAATATTAACTTAAGGGCATAATGACCTGCACTGTAAAATGCCCTTGTCAAAAACTTCAATATGAGAACTGGCTTATATACTCCTTTTATTCTCGTTTTCTTCTCTCCATTTTCTTTTTCTAAGATTTACATATTTTTACTTTGTGTGTATGGGCGTTTTGCTTGTAGTGTCTGTGGGGACCAGAAGAGGGCATCAGACCCCCTAAAACTGGAGTTATAGATAGTTGTGAGCTGCCACGTGGGTGCTGGAAATTGAACCCAGGTCTCTGGAAGTATAGCGAGAGCTCTTAACCACCAGCCATTGTTCCAGCCCAACCCCTCCCTTATTTCCTAAAGACCCTCTTTGCTCAGGTTCTGCAGATATACACTTTTATGTCTGAGATACCAAAAAGTAACAATTCAGGTGACAGCTAAGAAAGACTCCGGAAAATGTGACAAACTTGGAGTTTTCAAGGTGTCACATTCAAGAAAGGGATGTAGGGTTGGGGATTTAGCTCAGTGGTAGAACACCTGCCTAGCAAGCACAAGGACCTGAGTTTGATCGTGTCCCCAAGGGAGGATGCAGTTCCTTTGTGCTCCTTTTGGCTTTTCTGGGCTAGCCTGGTTGACCCAGTTCAAGCACATGTAGGACGTCCCCCAACAGTGAAGTCACCACTCAACCACTCACTCTGTAGCCCAGGCTGGTCTCAATTCACAGAGAGCTGCCTTGCCTCTGCCTCTCAAGTGCTGAGATTAAAGGGTGTGCCACCACCGCCCAGCCCTCACAGCCCTTCTTACGTCTGTTAAAGTTTCACAGGTATTTTCCGTCTTCTGATCTAACACCATCACATATTAAATATGATTCTTCTAGCTCTGCATTTAGTCTTCATTTACAATATATAGTATTATAAATATAATAATATAATAATATTGTAAATAGTAATATGTATCACATAGTAATAATAGTCTGCGTATTACAATACATAACTATTTGGAAATGGTCTATAAGTCTGTGCACAGTATGAGTCTTTAAATTGTTATAAGCACAGACTATTCATCTCTATTTCATCTAGCAAAAAGGCAGAGAAGCAATTAGACTGAACATTCAATATACCAAACTAAAAGCAGCTGGGACTTCACCCAGAGTTTTAGCCATTAAATACCATTTTGTGTAGAATTATTATTTTCATGCTTAGTAAACAAACAAAGATTGCTTTCTTTGCCTGTTATGACTTATACTAAGTCATTTTCTTGTACCTGCATCAGATTTCTGTGCTGCATTCAAAACACAAACTGGCATTTTAGAACCATTCTAAGCAGTAAGGGGTCCTGAGAGTTACAGAGCAGGAAGCACATCTGGCCAGTGGCAAAGGTTTGGTTATGAATCTCCTGGTGCGAAGAGGACGGTTTTAGATACAGTCTGTGTGGTATGGTATTGTACACCAGCAACATCAACACTCAGGAGGATCTGGCATTCAGACCCATCCTCGACTACATTGGGAGTTTATGGATGGCATGGGCTACGTGAAACTCTGTCTCATTCAGCCAGTGAGCATAAGAGACTATATTAGGGAAGAACCTGATGCATACACAATATGAAAACTATGTGGGACTCTATCAGATTGGTCATGTTTATTGAGCTTGGGAGTAAACTTATCTATCACAGCATGCTGTTATTATAAAACATAATACACATCAGAGATACAAATCTTTTCAACCGGAACCATTAATTATCATCCTCAGAGATAGCTTAGGCTGCTTTTAGTTTGGCCAAATAAAAGGATCTCACAGTTATTATTTTATATTCCATGAAAAAATTATATACCTTTCTTCCCTAGAGTACCAACCTCTCTGCTGACCTCTCCAGCACACTTCAGCCCTCTCTCTGTTCAGACAGACATGCTTTGAAATCTGATGAACTGACTTCTCAGTCTTTCTCACACTTGGTCACTGACAGCACAGAGAGGTTGCCATTATACAGGTCAGTACTCCTAAAGGCTTTCTAAACAAATATGAACTCGAAGCTTAAAACCATGTATGCTATGTAAAAATAATTTCAAGGCACTCCTTTAGTCTTTCATCTCAAGCTGTCTACCCAAAAACTTAGAGCATCAATAAATGTGATTTTTTTTTAACCCTGGCTGGTCTGGAAGTTGCTATGTAGAACAGGCTGGCCTTGTATCGAGTGCTTGGATTAAAGGCATGCATGTGATCATTTTTGTTTGTTTTCTTAAATATGAAGAGGGTTTAAATATTTATACAGAGATCAGAGGTCTTTTAAAGACTAACATCGAGGATCCTCAGCCATTTATTCTATGTTCAGTTCTTAAAACTAGATACTTACGCTTCCTGCCCACAAATCTTCTCTCTCTCCTGCAAGTTTAACATAAACAGATATCTCTTCACCCGTAGTGAAGTTTAGGTACCGACAGTCAGGTCCTGTATGATCTCTCAGGGCTAAGACTCTGCTGATTAAAGCTGCAAAGACACATAAAGAAAAGCACACACTTTAAAATGTTGTGGCTTCTCATTTACTTTTTACAAACAAGGTCTTGCTATATATCCTACACTGGCCTCAAACTTAAAAGCTTCCTGGTTCAACTTCTCCCAAGTGCTAAGACAATAGTTATATACCACCATACTTGACACCTCCATCCATTTTGCCTTCCTTCAATTCATCCTTTAAGTTTTGAAATGATAGCTGGGCTTGATAGTTCACACTTGTAATCCCAGCATTCATGAAGCCGAGGCAGGAGGATTTCAGGAGTTTGGGCTATGTCTTAGTTAGGGTTCTATTGCTGTGAAGAGATACCATGACCACAGCAGCTCTTATAAAGAAGACATTTAATTGGGATGGCTTACAGTTCAGAGGTTCTGTCCATTATCCCTGCCATCATGGCAGGGAGCATGGAGGCATGCAGGCAGACATGGTGCTGACTACATCTTGATCAGAAGGCAACAGGAAGTGAACAGACACTGGGCGTGGTTTGAGCATGTATGAGACTTCCTCCAACACTTCCTCCAACAAGGCCACACCTACTCCAACAAAGCTACACCTCCTAATAGTGTCACTCCCTATGAGCTTATTGAGGTCAATTACATTCAAACTACCTCAGGCTATTTCTATAATGATAACAACAACAACAATAATAAAGTTTGAAATGCTAATTTACTGATATTGGTTATGATCTCAAAAGCCAAAATAAACTTTTCACTACACACAGATGCAAGCCCAGATTTTTTGGCACAGTACTGAAGATTATTCACAAGCTGATCCCACTTATCTATTTTTTTTAATTTAAATTACATTTGTGTGTATGTTCATGTACATGTAGTACACATGTAGAGGTCAGAGTACAACTTTTGGGAGTCAGTTCTCTCATTGTATCCAATGGATCCTAGTTGTCAAACTCAGATTGTCAGGCTTGGCAGCAAGTGCCTTTACCCACTGAGTCATCTCACAGGCTCTCCCTTCCTTGTTGTGTCTTATGTCTTAAAGGTTTTATTTTATGTGTTTGAGCGTTTTGCTTCCATGTATGTATATGGACCATATGCTTTGCTTGCATGTATGTATATGGACCATATGCTTTGCTTGCATGTATGTATATGGGCCGTATGTGTGCCTGGTGCTCACAAAGACCAGAAAGGGTACTAGATCCACTGGAATTGGATCTATAGGTGAGTGTGAGCCGCCCACCATGTGGTTGCTGAGAACTGAACCCAGATCCTCTGTAAGAACAGCAGGCACTCTTAACCACAGATCCGTCTCCGAAGCCCTTGCCCTTTCCTATGTTAAGCAACCTCTTCTATTCCTTTGCATAGATTCAGGACTACACTCCAGCTTGCAAATATATTGTTCTCAGAGTAAGTCACCACTGTTCTCTGGTGTGGAGGACGCTGGCTTTCTTCCTGGTATCCTAACATTTCCATGCACTATATTCTCATTTTGTTAAATCCTCAACGCATATCTACAAGCTCATTCATTCTAACAAATGAGCCTTTAGCTAAGGGTTAGGGGACTGATCATATAGCTCTGGTTGGATAGATCTGCCCTGAGATTTTTTTTCCCTGTAACATCACCTTCCTTATCCTAAGCTTCTATCTTCCCTCAGGCCAGGAAAAAAAATTCATCTCTCTTTTTGCTGTAGAACAATCCTGTCTACACTATTAATATATATTACTCTCATTGGTTAATAAAAAGCTGACAGGCAGGTAGCGGAAGTTAGGCGGGAAAACCAAACTGAGAATGATGGGAAGAAGGAGGGTGGAGTCAAGAGACACCAGCCAGCTGCCCAGGAAGCAAGACATGCAAGACATGCTAGAGGACAGGTAAAGCCACGAGCCATGTGGCAATACATAGATTAATAGAAATGGGTTAACTTAAATGTAAGAGTTAGCTAGTAACAAGCCTGAACTATCAGCCAAGCATTTGTAATTAAGCATTTGTAATTAATATAAACCTCTAAGTGATTATTTGGAACCAGGAGGTCAGGATGCTGATTATATCTTTATATATATATTATGCATACAGCATTCTGTCTTGCAGGCCAGAAGAAGGCGCCAGATCTCATTACAGATGATTGTGAACCTCTAAGTGGTTGCTGGGGATTGAACTCAGGACCTCTGGAAGAACAGCCAGTGCTCTTAACCGCTGGCTGAGCCATCTCTCCAGCCCCGATTACATCTTCTTACTTAACTCATATCTCCCTTCCTCTCTGAGTCTGAACTCCAGCATTACCTGCTATCCTTACAATTTTATATCACTATTTTTCACCTTGACCTGTTTTGTCATTATTAAATAAAACTAATATTCCTACAGAGTAAGAAACAACTTCCATTTCACTTTATTACCTTTAAAACACATTGTATTAAGACATACACCCTGGAAATATAGTAGGCCCTCAATAACTCTGAGTAAATCACATATGCTTGATTCAGTCCTTCAGTGTCTAATGGAACACACTTATCATACAACTATTATGGTACTCATGGGTAAAATTTAAAAACATATTAAGTTCTTCAATAAGAATCAAAATAGCAATATAAATTACTATGAATTTGAGTTTCTATTGGACCCTAAAAATATTAAAGTGCTGATTCAATGCAAAGCGGGAAAGAATTGTCACTATCAAGTACCGTGGTTGCAAACTTCTCTACATACTGCATGGCTTTTCCAAAAGGTTAAGAAAAAAGGATTATGAGTAAAAATATCACATGGAATTTATAGGTTTAAACTAGTCATAGTTTGCATTTTGAAATGCTGTCTTCTGGATAGGAGGTGGGTGTTGCCTGCCAAAGACCTGTACAAGATCAAGCCCTTGACGTCCCCAAAACAGAGCAGGGAGAGGTTCGCAAGCCCCTACTGCTGGCTGAGGAACTACTGAGTCCAGGGCTTCTGAGGGAAAAGAGTCACTTTTCTTTAGGGGTGTGGCCACTGGTAGGTTGCCCATGCTCCAGCTGATGGCCTCACACCCACCCACAATGGTGCCTCACACTGATCTGTAACTACAATTCTAGGGAGCTCCATGCCCTCTTCTGACCTCTGCCAGCACCAGGCATGCACTTGGTACGCAGACATACATGCAAACATCCATGCAGACAAAACACTCACACATGAAATAGTGAATAAGTTCTTCTCAAAGACTTTGAGAAGAACTTTCTTTAAAAAATTAAAAAAGAGAATATGGATTAGGAGAGGGGATGTTACAGGGGCTGCAGGTGGAGTTGGAAATAGGATATAGAACAGACATGATCAAAAACACATCGTATAAATGTATGAAAGTGCCAAAAGATAAATAAAAATACTACTAAAATATAAAAAGCAGTTATTAGAGAAAAATTAAAGGATCTTATGAAATACCAGGTAGCTGTCAGGGAGTGGTGGTGCAACCCTTTAATCCCAGCACTCTGGAGGCAGATGCAGGCAGATCTCTGTGAGTTCAAGGCCAACCTGGTCTACATAGAGAGTTCCAGGATAGCCAGGACTAGGTTAAAAAAAAAAAAAAAGGAAGAAAGAAAGATAGGTAAGAAAAGAAAGGAAAGATGTAGTAAACATATGTTTCAAATGACTTCTGAGAAAGGTCACCAAAAATTTATTCATAAAAACATTACTACCCGCCGGGCGGTGGTGGCGCACGCCTTTAATCCCAGCACTCGGGAGGCAGAGGCAGGCGGATCTCTGTGAGTTCGAGGCCAGCCTGGGCTACCAAGTGAG